AGGCCTCGCGGCGCCGCCATGATGACGCCCAGGGGGCCGGCAAGGAAATGGCGGGCGGGCCCTGGCTGGGACCTGCCTATTACCCTTATGCAAAAGGACCTCATTCGGCGCGGCGGCTTTGCCTGCTCTGGGGTTAATGTGTGCTGTGGGTTTCCTCTTAGCCTCTGCTCGTGAGGGTGCTGGGGGGACGCCCCGCAGGAGGACGCAGCCTGCCCTGGAGATTGTCCTGTGGCATGTGTTAGGCTCAGGCTGGGCAGAAGTGCCTAATGAAGGCGCTTGCCTCTCAGCATAAGCCTCACCCTTCAACAGAGAAGGGAAAAGCTTTTAAAAATAGAGAAACCGGGTTGCCTGGAACACCCGATGACTTCTAACAGTTTCTTGAAGAAGTCGTGCCACACAAGGGGGTTCAGCTTATGGATACATGGCTGGCTGTGACATAGGAGACAGGATGGGAGCAGAGGGGTGTTTCACGGGGCAGAGAGAGCCAGGATGAGCTGCACTGATGGATACAAGTTGTTAATGTAAACCCTAACCCTGTTAACCAGAGTGTTCCCAGAGAAGGGAGGCACGGCACTTCCAAGAGAAAATACAACATACCTCAGACCTATACAAAGGGCTGGAAGGCCCTTCCAGAGCCCTGCTACCCTGCGGGCATCAACAGGCATGTTGTATATAACCCTGTTCACAAATTCCAGGTGCCCCTGAATCTGCGCGCCCCTGAATCTGCAACTTCTGTGGAGGCTGAGGATGCTGGAACCTTCACAGCTGCACCCCTGTCCACCAGCACTAGGTGTCAGGCTGTTAGCACGGCTTTTTGTGTGAGCACGGCCAGTTTTCGCGTGCTGCAGGCGTTTATAAATAACCAGATGTCACCTGTGTGTAATTAGGGCATTTTCATTTCCAACACCATCTGGAAAAAGCAACAACCAAGTTGTGCCTTCTTGCTGTGTCACTGTGCAACGTGCAGAAATAGTTCTCTGTGATGTGGCGTGCGCTTAGCTGCCAAAATCTAGCAGGCAAAATCAGATTATATACAATCTGCTAAGAACAAGTTACACCTATGCAGTCCTCACCATCCTGTGAGCACTGCAACATATACAAGGAGGCCTCTGTACCATGCCAGCATGTCCAGAGGAAGCAGGCCTAGCCTGATGCATTTTCAATCATTTATGCGTTGTAATGTGAGCTCCTCTCTTTAACTCACACATTTATAATAGCACACCTAGACAAGAGTGCCTACAGAAGTACACCTTCTCCATTCGTGTCAAAGCCGCAGAGCAGACTTTTTTCTTTTTTTCTTAGCACCTGTATGAAGTGTGAAAGGAGCTGAAGGGACTGAGGGAGGTACAGGCATTCATTTCTTTTTCAATTACAGACTCATGGGTGTTAATCAAAGAGAAAATCGTTTAAGAAATATCCTGTCATGAACGGGAAGATAGCAGTTTGACGTGAGAAATCACAAGCAGGAGAAGCTGAGGAAGCATTGGAAGCAAGTTTGAGACCACAGGTCAAACAAGTGGTTTTGAGAATCCTTAGGGCAAGTCATGACAATAACCAGAATCATTTTCTCAGAAGCGAGAAGCCTGCTGGGGAAAACCAGACCAAGCAGAAGTGGTAGGAGCTGACCAGCCTGCAGAGTGCTTTCAAATTGTGCCAGGACTTCTGGCACGAAGAGAGCCGGAAGAAATCATAGCCTGGATCTCCAGAGCAAATTTCCATATGGAGGCAGATGGAGGTGTTTGCACCACCAGACCTGTGAAATACAAACAGCAACTTCGTGAGCACGGAGAAATGTACAGGACGCAAACGTGAGAAAGCTTTAGCCATCATCCAGCCTTTGGAGAGGGCTTCTGCTTTTGCAAAACTGTTTGCAGACCAGGAGAAATTATCATGGGAAGAAACAACTCAAACAAGGAACAGAATGTGCCTAGTAAGAGACACAGCATACACAATTGCCCAAAAAAGCAGGAAAAAAATGACTATTTTCACAGCAGCAAAGTACATTTAGTTTTCACCATATAATTTGTTCAAGAGCTGCATCCTGTGACTAGGATATAACATTTAACACAAACTGGATATCTACCGTGAGCTAAAAACATGTCACTAAAATAGTTTGCTATTTAAAAAAACAGAAGTCTCTGTAAATAGAAAACAAAACAAAACAAAACTCATATAAGAGGAAGCAGAAAAAAAAGGAAAGAAGATATTTAACAAAAGGAAAATGAAAATACAGAAATAGTGACTGGTAACAGTGAATAACATCTCATAACCCAATTACTATAAGAGTTGCATTTCTGCTAAACGATCTGATTTCATACGTGTCACGTTGACTCCAAAGTCTCCGAATGGTCTTGTGGAGAAGTGTTGTCAATGCTGTGAAATGAAATTGCAGTAAAAGTGAGAGATCAAATTCTGGCACCACTGCATTCCTGGGCACTTAGGGAAAACTCCTACAATCCTTGCTGAGGTTAGAGGGAAGCTGGGAATACCCGCGGAGCTGTTGATGTTACCAAGCGGGGGCGAAGCAGCAGGAGGCCCGTGATGATCAAGATCTGCATCTTCGCACCCACAAACAGGCCTCTGCGTGTGCGTATGGGTTCGTTTCTGTGCATATCTGTACAAACACATAGCAAATTAAGACTGGAAAGGCACTGGCCCCTTTTCAGGCAGAAGTCTTGAACATGTTGTGCAGACAAGACAGTCTTTACGCCGGATGAAACATAGACCCAGAAACCGCTGTTGTCTGTGCAGGTTTGTAGACACCCTTCTCCGGAGGCTGTGCCCTGTCACCTGGAGAGCTGCAAGCACAACTGGTTCAGCTGGTGCAGAAACATAGCTGGGCACTCAATAAAGATTTTCACTTTAATTCGGTCCTGTTCCTTTGGTACCAACTGTTTTTTTTCCCCTCTTCCACTTCCCAGGAAGGGCTGTGAGGTGTTTTTCAGGTGTTTGGGGCTGCTTCCCAGCCTTAAGAGGAAAGGCCACTGTCTCTGGTGGCAACAAGAGATGATATTTGGGGAGATCTTGTGAGTTTGACAACACAGTTACGTTGGGACCCAAAACTCTCCCTACTTGCGTGCAGCTTCCTGGAAAATGCTGGGTTTGTGCTCAGGAACATGGAAGGGCTTCATCTTCTGTGAGAAAAGGCCGTCTAATTGGAAGCAATTCGTTGTCCAGAGCTGTGGTCTGAGAACCAACCTGAGGAAACCCAAGTCATCCTGAACAAGCATTTAATGCACACTGCTATCCTCCCGTGCTACCTGTTGGGACCCAAACGAAGCTGGAGGCTGAGTGTCACCAACCCTGCGAGCCTCTTGGGGTGCACATGTGTTTTCTTGTTTGCTTGCTTGTTTGTCTTTCCTCTTTCCTTATGTAAAAACTGGCTCTGCTTCCCCTCCCTAATTGAAATACATGTTAGCAGGACCGGTTTCATGATGTGGTCCCGATGGGAGGAGATGTTTCCACTCTGTTCCCACAAAAGCTCTTCCGTTGCTTTGTTCCCAAATAACACCAAATCAGCAGCAATGGGAAGCCTACCCAGATGAAAGAGGACCCCCCAATGACGGGCTCATATTTTGATTTCCAAGAGCCAGCCTGGAAAGATGACGGGACAAATTCCTCTTCCTTGGTCTCCTCCTTGTTCTTGAGTGACATTGAATCTGTGGGGAATTCACTCAAAATACAGAGGAAAAGGAACATTGCTGAACTTGCAAGGAAGACTCTAGCACTGACAAAGATGTTTACTCTTCTTGCAGCAGCCTCAATATATTTTTCTTCTCCCCTTTAATCTGGGCCTCCAGTGACACGCGCCCTTCCTTAGCTGCTGATCACTTCAAGATGTTGGAGGCTGCTCTGGAGTGGAAGAGGCTGCGAAGGGGAAATTCAATCTCTGTCACCAGGGCCGGGGAATATGCAATGAGCAAGCAGCTTTGCAAATCAAAGAGGTCTGGAAGTGATTTGTTCTCTGTTCACAGAACTTAGACATTTTTGCTTCCCAACTGGAATAGATTTCGGGCGAGATGTCACGCCGTTCTTTTGTTTCTGGTAGCCGGAGAAATGTGCTACCCTTCCCAGCTCTCATTATAAATTACACACAAATAGAAACAAGCAGCATCAACACAGAGCCGTCTTTTCACTACCTATTTCCATGATGTGCTGATGCTTTTTATTAGGTGGGAGTGAGCAAAATACACATCTCTTTTAGTAACTTCATTCTTCTACAAAGCTATGAGAAGACTGTGGAGTTCCTGGAAGAAAATTACACTCGTGTAACAGCTTCAGATAACTTTATGTATAGAGAACAGATTTCAGCAGAAAAACCTACAGTATCTAGTCAAGTATGAGCCTGTCGAGACTGGCCGTGCACTTCCCAGATCCCAATCCCTTTCCATTTATGGTGGATGAAATGCTGAAGGTCTTAATATAACTTGTTCTCAAGCTCCTCAAGCATGTCCAGCCTTCAGACCAGCAAAGACACACGAGGAAATAACCCAGACCAGGACAAGGAGGAGTTTCTTAGGCCTGCGTGTCCTCTGGTCACCCTCTGCCACCTGGCCCATGTCATGCAGCAAGGAGGAAATCCTGCGGTTCTCCATGGCGATGTGGAAGCTGGAATGCCTTGGGCCAACTGCGCGGAGAGCAGTGGGGATCCTCAGCCCAGGGGCAAGTCCCATGGTTTTGGGAACAAGGGCTTGGTTCTCCAAGGCTTGTACGTCGTCAAGGTTCGTCTGCCCCAAAAGGAGCCAAAAGGAAAGGCTCCTTCCAAATCCCCAGAATCTCCTGCATTTCCCTTCAGTGCCATCAGGAGACACTTGTTCTCATTACACCTATCCTTACGCCAAAGGACCTGTGTTACACACTGGCTCCCTTTGGCTTCTTTCTTTTCCCCCTTTTCTAATTATTGCCTGTTTTTATCCACGTCTGCTCTTGTCCTGCTCTTCTCATCCAGGAGAACGAACAGGAACTGATCCCTGGACAACCGAAAGACAAACTCTTGACCCAAGCAGCAAGGATTGCCCCAGCATTTTCCAGGGGTCGAGTCCCGCATGGGAATTTAGTGGGAGATGCTCTAGATGTCTCCCTTGATCCACCAGGCCGTGGTCGCGGGGCTCCAGCCGGGCTTGTGGAGAGGAAACGTCCCCCCAAAAGCTCTTCGGCAAATCAACCCTGAAGAATGTGGCTGCCTGTCACTCCCCATCCCCGAGATGGATGCCCGTGTGCCAGCGCAGGGCACGCTGCTGTCACGTAGCCCATGTCCCCATGCCAGGCGTCCCCGTGTCCCCGTGCCAGGTGTAACTGTGTCCCAGAGCTGGGTCTGCTCCTGCCCAGTGTCTCTGTCCCACCGCATGATGGACCCATGTCCTCCTGCCCCCACGCCAGCACAGGGGCTACTCATGTCCCAGGGCCCGTGTGCCAGTGCTGGGTGCCCCTGTGTCCCAGGGGATGATGTCCCCGTGTGCCAGTGTCCCCCTTGCGGTGCCCGTACCCTGGGGCAGGGTGTCCCTCTGTCCCGGTGCCCGTGCCCCAGTGCGGGCTGTCTCCATGTCCCAGGGGATGATGTCCCCGTGTCCCGGTGTGGGGTGTGCGGTGCCCGTACCCTGGGGCAGGGTGTCCCTCTGTCCCGGTGCCCGTGCCCCAGTGCGGGCTGTCTCCATGTCCCAGGGGATGATGTCCCTGTGCCCCGGTGTGGGGTGTCCCTGTGCCCTGGCGCGGGCTGTCCCCTTGCCCCGGTGCCAGGTGTCCCCGTGTCCTACTCCCACATGTCTCCGTGCCCTGGCATGGGCTGTCCCCATGTCCCAGTCCCAGGTGTCCCCGTGCCCCCCGTGTCCCACTCCCAGGTGTCCCTGTGACCCGGCGCGGGCTGTCCCCGTGTCCCCATCCCAGGTGTTCCCGTGTCCCGGTCCCAGGTGTCCCCGTGTCCCACTCCCAGGTGTCCCCGTGACCCGGCGCGGGCTGTCCCCGTGTCCCCATCCCAGGTTTCCGCGTGCCCCGGCGCGGGCT